TATACATATATACTCTCACACATGACATCAATAAATATTTTAACAAGACCTCTATCAATGATGTAGTTGACAAACCATACTGAGCAAGTAACACAATGACGATTACTTTATTTCCGACAAACTGAAGAAATTAGTTGAGGTGTGGACAATACTATAGAGGTGTTTGTCGCAGGTAATGTACTATTGTTTGAATCATATAATCACGTGGAGGTCGGTGATTTGTGACACTAACTCGGTGTTACTGTTTCAAGAATCAGCAGGTTTATAGTCACTTCAATTGCAACGTCATAGTGCTTGCTGTCAAATCATGCAGTCCCTTTCTCTTTACTATTTTCTTACGTTCTTTTCTAAATATAGATATGATATAATTTCATAACTTGTATAAGAAGTTAACTGTTAATTTCAGTGAATGTGTGGTTATATGGACCTGAAAAGTTATATTGAACTCGACTTTGTTTCGGTTCATGAATATGTATCTTCTCAACTTAATTTTTAATTCATATAACAACATATTATTATGTTTTGTGAATTTTCCAGTGGTAAATTTTTAACCAAGGCACATGATGTAATTTTTATTTTTATTTTTTTTTATGAGAAAGGGTAAAAAGTTTAAAAAATAACTTGATACAGTTTCTATGGCTTTCAAATCAGAACAGGGCTCGGGGTTAGAAAAAAGTACTAATAATTTTTTATTTTTTTGTAATTTTCTTTTTATTCAAGATTTTTTTGCAATATATGGTAAAGTTACATTCAAACAATTCATATTATATATTCATGCCTCACACGACTCATATATAGTCTTACTTACATCAGTTGATATATTAGACACAAGTACATGTAATGGTACCCATGTACACATATATTGCCTTTATGAGAACAGAAAGAGAGAGAGAGAGATAGAGTAGAAAAGAAGAAGAGGGAACAAAAATAGCAATCAAAAACGGAGAAAGTCAACAGAAAGAGGAAGAAAAAGTACTAATAATGTCAAGCGGTCATTTTACATCATTTAAACATGATGTATTATTTATTTTCTTTACATTTTTTTGTGCACTGACTATTCAGATTTAGCCCTAATTAACATTTTATGATGTATTGCAAATACATGGGAAAATCCGAAGTAAGCTCCCTTGATTGCCTGTCCATAGGCGTAGGTAAAATCAGTAGCTCAAGCGCAAGTTGATTCAGTACCCAATAGTCCTTAATCACCACAAAGCTGAATTTGTTCAGTTAGAAATCTATATAGAGGTCAGATTACACTACGAGTTATGGATAAACATGATTAATGTCCAAAAGCATGAACGTATTCTTGAATGTCGTGTACGTACTCACTGAAGCTCGTAGATTATATTACAAAAGATGATTTTACGAGAAACACCCAAAAGTTATTATGACACAATGAATGGCGTGGCATATTTATCACTTATCAATTTATCTATAAGCGATAATAATAGTGGGTATATAAAAAAATACTCTGAGGTATGCAATATCTTAATTTTGGGTAGTCGATACTATTTTTGCATTTGGTCTTTAATTGTGACGCAGGTGATTTGCCCAGAGACATATAAAGCCAGTAGTATATACGTCTCCGGTTTTGCCATAACAATTTATGCAAGTCAACTGGGAGAGAATTTTTATTTCGGGAGAAATATATCAGTATATAACGACATTCAAACTACTGCCTCTGCACAGAGACGTATATATTACATAATTACGTAATTCCTAGGTTCGGGGGTGGGGTGGTGGGGGGGAGGCCTGATGTATCCCACTTCCCACTGTATGTGTATTGTACGAGGTGACGTGCCTCCCCCTCCCCCTGCCGATTTTTTTTTTATCTTTTCAGATTCTTCTACTTTGGGAACATTGGGGTGAGGTTGAAGTTGGGAGAGAGAAAAAAATCTGTGGCCTCCTTTTCGAACACGTTGTGCCCTATATAGTTTCATTTCTTTCCGGCTTATACCCGTCTTCATATGACCTATAATTATTACAAGGACCAAAATAGATGATCTCATTGGCCTATTGACTCGCCCACCTGCTGCTTGTTATGTACATTATAATATATGGTTCTTATTATTGAGAATCATTAATAGATTCTATGTTTTAATATATATAAATTTAAGTAGTGTCTCGTAAGTCAGTATGGCTGGGCATATTTTGCATATGTGTATTTTTATTATGTAAGTGATGTGTTATGTAAAATATGTGTGACACTTAAATAAAATGTACATATTATAATTAAGAACTTATGTCTACTTTAATCAGAGAAATATTCCATTTTCTTTGTTAAGAATTATAATGACAAGACCTGGAAAAAAAAATGATGACAAGACCTGAAAAAAAACACCCTGAAAATAATAACGATTTTACAGATATTATAACAGGTACACTACTAGCCGCCTACATGTTATTAAAATCTTAAATTAATGTTGATTAAGTAAAGCCTCATTGACTAATATTAATATCAAAGATTATTTAAAATTCTGTTATGCATTGTCTATAAATTTCAACTGATACAATAACAGTTGACTGAATGTTGTTTTTATATTTCCTTTATTTTATAGTTATGTCTGCAACCTTCAATCTCAAGCTGATTTTGTGTGGACATACACTGTAGATAGGAAAAATAATCAAATAATAAAGCGTGCCGCTACTTCTTCGATACCGGAAGAAATGCGACCAATGTCGCCACAAGTGGCGATCTTGGTTGGAGTTCATGTGACGTGGAACAGAAAGTGGAGGTCTGTAGGCTCTGGTTAAGGATTAATGGATTCGCTCACGATATACTAGTCTATAAAATTCATTAGTGGTCAAAAGGAAAACGTCTTAAGTTTTATTTATTTATAATATTGTTTCCACTTCATCTATTTAAGTCTTCATCATAATATTAGGGAATTTCAGATAAAATGTCCTAACTTTATAAATTATTTCTATGATCAAGGTTGTAACATCATTATACCATTTTTGAATAAATTCAGTCATGTAAGCTAGTTTTCAATGTATGTTTCAAAAATAATTTGCATACAGTGTATACATACCTCTTTATATAATCAGCCCGAGTTACAAGTATTTTCGTAATATGATGTAATCATTTAAAATGACAACAAAGGGTCATTTTCATGTTAGCTGTGCATCATCTTGTACACATTACTCAATTATTCATGCAATATAATGGTAAACACATATTCAAAGTAATTTAATTCCATTATACTATTACTATTCCGTCTATACCACATGCCTACTGTGCTATTACTTTTCCGTCTATACCACATGCCTACCGTGCTATTACTATTCCGTCTACACCACATTCCTACTGTGCTATTACTATTCCGTCTTCACCACATGCCTACCGTGCTATTACTATTCCGTCTATACCACATGCCAACAGTGCTATTACTATTCCGTCTATACCACATGCCTACAGTGCTATTACTATTTCGTCTATACCACATGCCTTCAGTGCTATTACTATTCCGTCTATACCACATGCCTACAGTGCTATTACTATTCCGTCTATACCACATGCCTGCAGTGCTATTACTATCCCGTCTATACCACATGCCTACCGTGCTATTACTATTCCGTCTATACCACATGCCTACAATGCTATTATTATTCCGTCTATACCACATGCCTACTGTGCTATTACTATTCCGTCTATACCACATGCCTGCAGTGCTATTACTATTCCGTCTATACCACATGCCTACCGTGCTATTACTATTCCGTCTATACCACATGCCTACTGTGCTATTAACGAAACCTTAATTACGGTATATGGTACAAATTGTTCTCTTCAATTTTATCTTACGAAGTATATTCCAGTAAAGTATAGAATATATGTATACATCTCAGTAGATTAAGTACTTCATTGAGACTCGAAGATAAAGAAATGTTCATACAGAACAAAGGCATTGTAAGGAAGGTACCTCCACAGACACGAAATGTGAATTTCGCTTTCTGTTAACTTGTAGTAAGTTTCAAAATCTTAGAGTGCGGTTTTTCCTTTAGACTATTCAGTTGTTAAGTGTCAAAAAAAGTAAACAGTTATGGTTGTAAGGGAAGATTATCTTTGACGCTAACTTAACTATATTGTATATAATGTACACCATCTCTATTTATTCTCTATACATCGTTTTTTGTATAGTATGTACCACATGTAATATATATACGTCTCTGCTATAACCAAATTGTTATTAGGAGGGAAAATGGAAATGTATGCTAGGTGAGACTAGGTATTTTAGAAATGTATGCTAGGCGAGACAAAACCCTCAGTTCGTACATCCTGATAAATTGTGCTCCAAATTTCAATTTAAAGGACGGCCATCAGTCATTATGGATTTGCAGGAACAAGTCATCTCTTCAGATCTAAACTGAATTTTTATTCACGCACCAGTTTCCCAGCGGGTAACTTTTTACTGTCGCGTCTATGAAAGGGAATGTAAGGAACGACAACTCTGGGTAGAGTGTGACGGATAGATCAAATTGAACATCGGATACACACTCTCGTCAATTATATACAGTGTTATATTTATTTAATTATATCACGGACTTAGATAACTCTAATTCCGTGATTGTATTATTATTAATTACTATATCTATATATGATACAACATTCGATATAGCGTCCTATCTGATAGGATAATCTAGTTAGGATTTCCTACTGGGCATATACCACCTGACTAGACATCCCCACATGGCACTGAAAAGGATCATAATTTTGGGTAAAGAATTCCACATTTACTTGTCTGACATGATTGTACTGGGCATAGTACTTCATAGGAAATGTTCGCATGTATCAATGAGACGATAATGAGAAAAAAATCAACATACAAACAGTTACATGTTGATTTCTTGACCAGATTTCGCTAAGCTTTACTTTTAGTTTGCAACAAAGTAAAGTCCTTAGGCTCAGCCTAGTCAATAGTTTTATAAAGGGGGGTAATCCGGGTTTTAGATCCGTAGCCCGAGCTCGGGTTCATAGAGCACATTTTACCCCCTACAAAAACAAGCTTGTGAACGACCTGGACGATTTCAAGACGCATGAGGACGAAGTTTTGGAGGAAGCATGTCTGCAGTGTCAATGATGCCAAGATCCGCGGTCGGTTACGCCGCTGCAGGAGCTGGCCTATGTTTCCTTGGTTATTGCGCATATTTTGACTATAAAAGAAGGAGTGACCCAGATTTTAAAAAAAAATTACAAGAAAGTAGGTAACCTAGGCTACCAGGATGACCACTCGGTCACCTTTAGTCCACTCACACGGGCTCGCCCTAGCTGCGATAACGTAGCTTTCTGACGACGAGAGATTTTTTTTTATAAATTGCGTCGGCCTGGACAGAGGAGGCCGGGTATTAGTATTAGCCCCTGTTGTCCACAGGCAAGTTTTAGTTTTATCTGTGGTCAGAGGACGATAGCTTGATTTTTTAGCATTAACAAATGGTATTATCTCGACTAAGAATATAAACAGGTCCAGTACACTCTGCCGATTGAGCTATATAGCTATAAAGACCTATATAGCTATATACACCTATAAATTATAGCTGTATTGAGCTATATTTTCTCAGACTTCAAATTTTATTTAATCAAAGCAAAGTTGCATAAAACAATAAGGTTAATGGTAATGTTGACTACAAAAAGCATACATTTAGATGTTTATTTTCATTTTTCATCAATGTAAAATTTCCGATTTCTTTACATCATTATTTTTTTTAAAAGAATACTTATATTTAATGTCTTTTGTTATCAACCTAATGATACAATCTTCTTTTAAATGCGACTTTGTTCCGTTTTCCTTAAAAAAGAAAATCACTCAAAAGACCTATTTCAGATAGGTCAATAGATCTATTATAGGTCTTTACAGCTATATAGCTCAATCGGCAGAGTGTAATGGACCTGATAAAGCTATGTTTATTGTCAGTCATTTTCTATTTCATTTTTTATCTGTGGTCAGAGGACGTTTTCTATTTCATTTTTTCCTTTGGGAATTTAGAATATCATGAAATATGATTCTACCTCAAGGGATTAAGACATGTTATCTGGGTTTTATCAATTTTGAACGATAGTTAAAGCCCTTCTTATAGATAAAATTGCAGAAGCATGTGATCTTCATTTGTATTTAGTTAGTATGGGGTCTCATGAGATGTGTGGCAGGTTTCAATTAAACATTGTACATATGACTACGCCGGTCGCCTTTTAACTTTGGCTGAAGGGAAATTCCCTCTAGCCCAACGGTAGAACAGCAGACTGGGTAGCCCGAGTTTCCTCTAGCCCTGACACCAGACTTGGACATTTAAACAGACATCTATCTGTCAAAATGTCTAAGTCTGGTGTCAGGGCTAGAGGAAACTCCGGCTACGGACTGGGAAGCTGGGGGTCACTGGTTAGATCCCTGTTGGAAACGCACGACTCATTTTACAGTTACAGAGGTATTATTTGATCCTTGTATAGCATCGGCTGACCAGTTTTATAGATATAAAAATAAGTTTACATCAGTTATGATACAAGTGTGATGCACAAATATCTGGGCACAGAAACAGGTGTAGCTTGTTATTAGGTCCTCAGACAATATTACAAACTTTTAGCACGACTGTGGAGGTTGTCTGCTGATGATCAGGTTGCTCATCAGCTGGTGACAAAGTCCTGGGTTCCATTCCTGGTCTCGTCCAGTTGCATTTTCCTAAGCCTGTGGTCATATAGACTTATACCACCCAGAGATGTATATATAACTGTTCTGGATTTGAATCCCAGTTTATCCCCATTGTATTTTTAGGTCACCTGAGCTTTGCTTTGGGACAGCCTTCGTTTACTCTTGGAAAGAAAATTTACAACTAAATACAGATGGTACACAATGTGGTTTCTTGGAGTTGTGTACTTATATATTTCTGTTTGTTTAATTTCTGTATCAAATAGAAACTGAATAGTTTCGACTTTGACAGAAGACATAAATCTCACATATTATCTTTGAAAGTATGAAGAATAGAATTACTGGTAGTTAAAATATTTGTGCATTTATTAAAAAAAAAGTGTCAAGTTTTCAGAAATGCGTGGGTGAGCGATTCCACTAGATGTCCAACTTCGCAGCAATTCAAATAATTCCGGAAAATGTTGATTGATACAGTATATGTAAAAATACCTGTAAAAATTGTTTACTTACAGACATGATCTCTTGGACAAAATGCTGCAAAACTATTTAATTTATCATCAGAGGAGGAATCAGATTCTTGTTTTTCTTCATATAAAAAACCCCATTAGAAAAACAGTTCAGTATAATTTTTTATCTGAACACATATATTTTCAGAACATTTAATTGGTTAGGTATAGTTTGGCACAAACTCAAACTATGTGAAAATAAAATAGAAAGTGGCTAAGATTTCCACAAATGATGCCATGCTAACCATACACAAAACTACTTTTCAGTGCACTTTTTTTGTGCAAGAGAACGGGTAACAACTGTATTAAAGTAATCATGGATGCTAAATGTGTTAACTGTGCGCTGCTATCTGGCTGTGTTTGGGAATAAGTAATTGTGAAATCTTCTGTATTTTGTTGTACAGTACTATGATTTTGGTTTTCAAAAATGTCACTTCTTCATTAGGATATAAAAATATGTTCCAAAAATTCAATTTTCGTCATGAACAAATACAATCGTTTTTATACTTTGTATTTGTGCTTTTCACTAAATTTTGTGGAACACATCAGAAATTATTTCACTGTACACCGAAAAATTCCAATTTTATTTGTATGAACATTTTATACATGTACAATTGCATTCATTAAATAAATGTTTAAATCAAGCTTAATAATCATTTTAAGGATGTGTGTGAAGCTAAATTTGAATCTTTTGACAAAATAATAAGATCACTGGTTAATTATTCCTGGCCCATTGGACCATTTCTACCTATTAATGTTTTTTCTCCTGTGAATAGAACTTATCAGGAAATTTCCCATTATTCTGTTTCAGGGAGACGGAAAGCTAAACGGTCAAATAATCAAAAGCCTGCCAGCGGCCCAGTAAGTAATTTTATTTATATTGACACAGTATGTGAATAGAGAAGTGTCTAAATGGCACTGTGTGTAGTGTCCCAGATACAACATACACTAGTGATGGCAATCACTTAAAGTATCGTCACCTAACTAATGGTTTAATGAAAATTGACAAACCATAAATACAACATACACATATACCTGCTAGATGACATCCTCGATATCCAAGAGTTATGCTCACTTTCACCCTTGGAATATGTCATATAACAAAATTGAAGGTTCAGTATGCACCAGCGTGTGTTTGAGACGAGAAGACAAGTTTTATCCTTTGATGTATTTCAAAAGAATTTGTCGGTGGTATAACGGTAAAACTTACTGGCTTTGAAGTCGGGTGTCGCTCCTCTGTAATCTTCGAAAGGACATCGTCAGCCTAGTGATTGGTCAAGTGGTTTTTTAACTGAGACCAATCAATTAGCTAGCCGTGTGCCTTCAATTTTGTCATGACATATTTCAGGGGTGTAGAGAACAAAAGTGACCGTAGCCCCTGGATATTGAGGATGGCTATATGGATGAAATACACTAAAAATTACAATAAAGATTTATTGTTTAAACAGAACATGCCATGCCATGAATATTCATGACTGTTATTTTTTTTTTTATCCCAAATGAAACATGTAAGAAGATTTTGCATAATATTTAAGCCTGCTTTTCTAGTTGCAGGAATGTAAAATGATAATTCAATATTTTAGTGTCGGTATATGATATCAAAGTTGTACACGTATCATTTTATCTGGGCCCAAGCTTAATTATAAGAAAATGCTTTTCCTGTGTGTGAAAATTCAAATTCAAAGAAACCTGTTAGTTCATATGTTTAACTCATCCACCCCTGAAGACACATTTGAACCTTTCCAATTCAAAGGTTGGAAAAGTTCATTATGAAACTTCAGGGGCTAATGAGTTGATGAAAGCCAATCTGGTTCATGTCCATGTACATTCCAAGGTGTTAATCAGTTACAGTCTTAATAAATGTGTTCTATGTGGATTTCATAATAAGGTTTTTGATATAAAAAAAAAATCTCCTTTCATATTATTGATGCATGTTTGAACACGAGTAATACAATAAAACCCTTCGTTTCATTTGCCACCTTGTTTACTGCAAACATATTCCAATTTTCCATATTCCATATTCTCATTTTCCTTTATACATTTCCCTCAATTCATTGCCAACCCTTTTATAATGCCAAGATTTCTCAGGACAAATGGTCGCAGTATAACAAGGTTTTACTGATGGTGATAAAGTAATAGGTCCAATTATTAGGGCCCCGTATCGGAGAGTCTGTCTGTCTGTCTGTCCACAAATTTTGTTCCTGGCTAATAACTTTGTTATTTATTGACCGATGTACTTGAAACTTGGTCAAGATGTTCAGTTCACAAAAATACACATTGAGGTAAAAAGTCAAGGTCAAAGGTCAAGGTTATTATGTTCAAAGTTCAAGGTCAAATTTTACATCTTTTCACTGATAAACATTTTGTTATGACGTTATTAAGCAAAATTGATAAGAATTAAACAAGGAGTCAACTGACCAAAGGTCAAGGTCATCGGGTCAGGGGTCAAGGTCAAATTTTGTAGCTTTTCACTGGTAAACATTTCCCTATGACATTTTGAAGCAAAGTTGTTTCGGAATTAAACAAAGAGACACACTGAGGTAAAAAGTCGAGGTCAAGGTCATTAGATTCAGAGGTCAAGGTCAATTTTTGCATCTTTTCACTGATGAACATTTTTTTTATGACATGATGAAGCAAAGTTGATCAGAATTAAACAAGGAGTCAACTGACCAAAGGTTAAGGTCATTGGATCAAATGTCAAGGTTAAATTTTGTATCTCTTCACTGGTAAACATTACGCTTTGACACTTTGAAGCAATGTTGCTCAGAATTAAACAAGGAGTCAATTGACCAAAGGTCAAGGTCACTAGGTCAAAGGCGAAGGTTAAATTTTGTACCTTTTCCCTGATGAACATTTTGTTATGATATTAAGAAGCAAAGTTGGTCGGAATTAAAGAATAAGTCAACTGACCAAAGATCAGGGTCACTGGGTTAATGTCAAGGTCATTGGGGTCCAGAGGTCAAAGACAAAGTTGATCTCTGACTTTGACCCTGACTATGGAGGAGGTATATAAGGAGAAATAAAACAAATCAAAGCTAACAAATGATTATTGAACTGGTATTTACATTTCTGTTAGCCCAGCAAATATGGAGGTGGAAGGAAACAAGACTCACATCATAGTACATGTAAAATGTATATTTTGCTTCCTTGCGGTTCTTTTTGAAGTCCAAATGTCAAATGTTAAGCTCAGCTATATGGGCGGATTGCTTCTTGATGATTATGGGGGATCTATTGCCACAAGACAGGGCCCTTACTGACCTGTCAGTATTCTAGTTGATTGTCGGTTACTTTCCTTGACCTATGTTGATCTTTCTTGACTATTGAAATGCAAAACTTAAAATATAAAAAAAATCACTTTTAACATTTATGCCTATGCTTTCAACATATGTACAGTTAACAAAGGAATGGGTGTATATGTATGAGGACTTGAACTAGAATGTGTTATTATCAGGTAAGTAACGTATACACTGATGTTTGATTCTACTTCCAGTCGTTAAACAGTGGCAGCTACGAAGATCTACAAAAGTTTTTCCTTCAAGAGGTCCAATTGGGTGAAGAGCTTTTGGCAACAGGTAAATATTGTTTTCTAAGATCAACAGGTAAATATTGTTTTCTAAGATCAAGCTTCAAAGGTTTTTTTTGCTTTTTAAATCAGTGAATGCAAACTTGCAGGATAAACATGACCCGTGATATTATATCGGGGAAGTGTGCAATATAACAATCAATCAATCAAAGTTAACCTGTCTGCATGGATTCCTAGGTGATGTAATTTTGAGGCATGCTATTATCAATGAATGGGTTTGTTGTTTTCTAGGCGACATCGAGGGCGGAGTTGAGCACCTGAGTAGAGCCGTGGCCGTATGTGGTCAGCCTCAGCAACTTTTACAGGTGTTACAGTCTACATTACCTCCTCAGGTGTTTCAGCTGCTGGTACAGAAACTTCCTGTCACTGGCCAGGTAAGTAAAGCATCACAGTCATTTACCTCACCAACTGCAACCAGCATGTACGATATATAGCAAAGTAAATATCTTACCGAAACTAATGGCTCTGTGCGTCTCCTCAGAGTCAGGTACCTTTTCTTGTAAGTTACTTATCTATCAGAAAGTCGAAGAATTTTGATGTAAATCTTGGAAAGGTCCTACCTCATCAAAAGTCAGGTAAACTACCTGGTAAATATCACAGAGAAAGTCACAAGAGTTCCTTGTAGAAAAACATCCTGTAAATATATCACTAGAAGCAAAGTTATATCTTTTTAATAATAATATCAGACATAAAAAGCAAAGTCAATTATCTTGTAAACGATGACACCAAAAGCCTAAGTTTTATCACGTGTGTGTAGATGTCTTGCACACCTAATTTCTAACACTGTTCTTTCTGCTTTACTCACTTACACCAAATTGTAATTTTAATGCGAGATTTGAATGCGTCATCAATATTCAGTGTTAATCTATGTTAACTTATTCACCCTTGAAAGGTCATAATGAACCATTCCAACCTTTGAATTGGAAGAGTTCAAATGTGTCTTCAGGGGTGAATATAAGTAACCTCGGAACAGTGTTCAAACTTAACAGTAGACCCATAAACATTGGAAATCAATGTAGGTCTATCAGAATCACTTACCTAAAACAATGTAGGTCTATCAGAATCACTTACCTAAAACAATGTAGGTCTATCAGAATCACTTGCCTATTATGTGGATGATAAGCATGGTTGTGAAAGAAAATCTCCTCTTTGAAATGACTTGACGTCCTTTATTATCACACATAATTTCTTTATTTCATGTTAATATTGAACACTTATTATATAAGAAACTATTTCTTGGTAAATATCAGATTTTCAGCAGGTCTATTCCGTCTTTGCGTATTACAGAGTTATCTTGTCTTGGGAGCAGGTATTGATTGTTACGTCATTGGTTTGTGCGAGAAAATTACGTCGTTTTCTCAAAAATTGATGACGTTACTCTCACAAACAAGTGACGTATCAATCAATACCTGCTCCCAAGAGAAGATAACTCTGCAATACGCAAAGACGGAATAAAAAATATAAATCTCATAAACAGATCGTCTATGGTGTATAAATCCTAAATGCTAAGACTGACGGTATACTATTTTGTATTCCATAGCCCTATAAGGGACCCCATTGGAATTGAGCCACAATGTGACTTTATTGGTCATCCCGATAAAGGCCTAAATTAATCGACTCCAATCCATTTTTTTAACACCCTGACTGATTACTAGTTCTATGGCAGCCATAAATAACTTATAACATCTGTGATAATATATATATTTATGTCCAATCTGCAAAATGTGATAAGCATGTACGTGTAATGTCTGCCTTTTACCTGAATAAATATTACTATTATTCACTAGGTTGGTGATTAGTTACAGTACATGTTGTGTGTACTTACACATATATACAATTAAATCATAGAATGTCTATTTCAGCGAGTGAGAATTAAATCATAGAATGTCTATTTCAGCGAGTGAGAATTAAATCATAGAATGTCTAGTTCAGCGAGTGAGAATTAAATCATAGAATGTCTAGTTCAGCGAGTGAGAATTAAATCATAGAATTTCTATTTCAGCGAGTGAGAATTAAATCATAGAATTTCTATTTCAGCGAGTGAGAATTAAATCATAGAATTTCTATTTCAGCGAGTGAGAATTAAATCATAAAATTTCTATTTCAGTGAGTGAGAATTAAATCATAGAATTTCTATTTCAGTGAGTGAGAATTAAATCATAGAATTTCTATTTCAGCAAGTGAGGATGTCGTCTGCTCCAATGGGAATGCCAGAGATGACGATTGCTGAGGATGATGTGGAGTGAAGTTGATGTCAAGGGAGGGGGTTGTCATGTCATCTTTTCTCACGCCTGGATCTAGATATTTATACTCATTTACACATTACTAGTGTTGGTGAAAACCATTCCTGATACTCGGATATTAGAAGATGACATCATGCAATTTAAAAACTTTTAATGAAGAAATGATTTGGACTCTTGAATTTAAAACTTCAGAATTAATTTACGATTTGGACTCTTGCTGGAATGACACACGCCAGTGTTGACACAGGGTTCCTCAGACTTGACTCCAGTCTTTCATTATAAAATGATGTTATAAGTAACTATCATGGAACAAACTGTCGGGTACTTCTAAAGACTAGGAACAGATCGAATGAAGAGGCTTATGAAAATGGGAGCAATAGGAGCAGAAATATTGTGATGTTAAAGTTCCTCTCCATATTTTTGCTGCTCCACAGGAAATGTGACATACACATTTGTGAAAATAACCAATAACATTTCATTGCTATTTTTTTGTTAAGACTTTGTCTGATTGTCCAGGTCTGAAGATGAAATCTTGTCACATATTTGTTAGACATGGGTCACAATATTCTTGCATGGGAAATGCACAACATACAAAAAGTACATACATTTGATGGTCAGGAAAACTTGGTATTTTATGTTTGAATAAAAATGTGATATTTTTGAAAAATTGTGATGGGTGTAAATGTAATTCTGTTATTTGCATTATTAATATACTCATGTAGAAACACTTTGTTAAGAAAAAAAATCATGTCCAAAGCTTGAATCCAGAATTATTGGAATAAAAGTAATAGAAAAAGAAAAGTAGGTGAGCTGATCACCTCCAGAATGATTTCTTTTTAAAGAACAATGGCAACTCCCAGAAAGTCTCCAACTGCTAGTGACTATTTCCAACATCTAAGATTGGTGGGGATACTTAAATGGCATTCCTCTGTTCAGAATGTTTTGATTGGTTTTAATACCATAAGGGGCCAAGTGGTAAAGGCGTCTGACATTCTGCTACCACTCTCCACCACTTGGCCGCTGGTTATGTGGGGCAATCGCCAGGTACGAGCCACATGTGAGTGGTTTTCTCAAGCTTTCCTCCATGACCAAAACCTGCCATGTCCTTAATTGACCATTAGACTGTTAATAGGATGTAAAACCCAAACAAACCAAACCAAATCAATACCGTTACTTGAGTTTGGAGTCTATTGATCTTAAATGTGATGCAAGACATCATTGATTTGTCATTTTTGTCAGAGGAATAATATTACATAATTAACAGCTGTCAACACTTCTCGAAAATTAACAAAATATGTTGTGAAGCTGTTTTATATTTAAATATAGAAAAGGTATATCTTGCTTAGTAATATAAAAGATGTGGATTAATTAGGTTACCTTACAAGCATCAGCTGTAGGGAATTTCCCTTCAGCTTAGCGGTAGATCATTGGGCTGGAGAGCTAAGGGTGGCAGGTTCGAGCCCTAGAGACGGCACTATTTTATCACTATTCCTCGTCCTACTACAGTAAATCCTACAGAAGAATACAGGAGATATCCTGAAT